AATAAAGGTGCTTATGGAAGCATATGATTATGTTAGAGTGAACTTTATATCATTATCCTTGGAACATGTTCAACAAGGGTTCCTTTGTAATATTCCAGGTATGGATGGCATATGGGAAGCAGGTGTGAGTAGGGCTGGACTGCTGGAGCCTCTCATTGACCCACCTGTCACTTGTAAGAAGTGCAGCACAGTAGCCAAAGAACCATACATTCAGTGTGTAGAATGTAAGCACCAAAATAGAATGCCAGTCACATTATGCGTGCCATGTTTCACAAAAGGATCTGAATTTGGCTCACATCGAAATGATCATTCATATATGGTTATCAGGAATGACTTCTGTCTTTTTGAACCAGGCTGGCAAGCAAAAGAAGAACTGCGATTAATTAATGCTATAAATGACTGCGGCATAGGAAATTGGCAAGATGTTAGTTATCAGATGGAAGGAAAGTCTGCAGAAGAATGTAAAAGACATTATCTGAAATATTATATAGAAGATGCACATCCAGATCTCCCCAAAATTTGCAAAAGAGAAGTATCAAGTATTGTCTATCCACAGCCAGTGACTTATGAAGGTGGAGGAGATGATCCTCCTAGACCACTTCCAGGAACAGCAGCCTGCAGGGACATGGCAGGATACAATGCTGCACGCGGTGACTTTGACATTGAACATGATCATGGGGCAGAGTCTGACATCCAGGATTTAGATTTAAAACTGTTTGAAGATGATGAGAAGCCATCTTTGGGTATGGAATTACAAACAGCTCTTCTGGACATTTACAGAAGAAGACTTGGGGAGAGATTCAGAAGGAAGAAAATAATGCGTGACCATGGACTAATAGCTATGAGTCGAGCCATAATGTCACTAAATCGTTATCGTTCTTCAGTTTCACAGAATTTGGGTGAAGCCTTGCAAAAGTTTCATAGTATTCTGAGTTCAGAAGAATTAGATATGCTATTGGAAGGCTTGAAATGGGAAGCTGAACTCAAAAGGCAGATAAATGACCTTATGGAATATCGGACTAATGGGATATCTAAACAGACAAACATCATTACTTATGAGACTTTGAAAAGAAGACGAGAGGCAAATCTTAAGGAGCGTCGGAATCTTGTTGTTTCACAGAAGGATGGTGGAGACATAAAGTGGGATGTAATTAATAAGAATATTGCACCTTTAGGTGCAGCCATTTCTGGTTCATCAAGGAGAGTTAGTGTACCTCTCAATATAGCAGGGAAGCCTGGATATGAAAACCTTACTGATACAGAGAAACAGATTGCTTCAGAACTCCGTCTGCTGCCAGAGGATTTCCTCAAATTCAAGGCTTCCTTCATTGATGAATGTCGAAAATTGAATGGTTTAAGGCTAGCTCAGGCGAGGACATTAATAAAGATAGATGTAAATAAAATCAGAAAAATCTATGATTACCTTTTAGCTGCAGGCCTTATTCATGTTCCAAAGAAAAAGTAGACTTTTGCTTTGTGACTAGTACTATATGATATGTACTAGAAAGCATACAGAGTTGTTAGTTTTTGAATAGATAATTACTTTGTTGAAGTTTTGCCATGGTTTTTATCTCAGGAGGATTAGGATGATGTCACAGCATACTGGTTGAAAATGTTTCCTTAATTTCTTTGTTATCTTACAGTTTTAGTGATGGTTTAACATGGTACAATTTGCATGAGACATATCACATTTTCCTTTTGAAGAACAAAGTTTGAGAACTTCTCCAATGTATTGTAGGTAAATTATATATATATTTTTTTACAAGTTATTTGGTATAAAAGCAGTGTATTGTGAACAAGTTTACCAAAGTTTTAAAACTGTAGTAGATAACAGTTGACTGAACAGCAATGATGTTCCTGTTGTTATAAACTTTTAATACAGTAATAACAAAGTGATAGTGTTTGAATCTTACTACCTTTTCAAAATATCACAGCCATGAAACTATAGTAGTTTTATGTTGTACAGTATACGCAACTATTTTTTCCGTAGACCTTTATGACGGATATGTTCCATTCTGCCTTTAACTCTTGCACTTTGAAAAGAGAGAGGGGAAGCTACAGACCGAATGCATGATTTTGTTGCAAAGAAAGTAAGAACATGGTTCCACCAACAAATCTTTTCCTATTACTCTCAGTCTCTCTCTCTCTCTCTCTTTCAAAGTGCAAGAGTTAAAGCAGAATGGAACATATCCGTCATAAAGGTCTACGGAAAAAATAGTTGCGCTATACTGTACAACATAAAACTACTATAGTTTCATGGCGCTGCATTTTGAAAAGTAGTAAGATTCAAACACTATCACTTTGTTATTACTGTATTAAAAGTTATAACAACAGGAACATCATGCTGTTCAGTCAACTGTTATCTACTACAGTTTTAAAAACTTTGGTAAACTTGTTCACAATACACTGCTTTTATACCAAATAACTTGTAAAAAAAATATTATAATTTACCTACAATACATTGGAGAAGTTCTCAAACTTTGTTCTTCAAAAGGAAAAG